GATCCCTGTGTTTCTGATCCTGATAACTTTCTAGTAGATTTACTTGGTACTTTGATAGTGTTTTAAGTCAGCATCTTTCATCACTGCTTCCTTAAGTAATCCCCTGCTCTGGACTGTCTGTTGACCTGCCAGTATGCACTGCAAAAACCTGTCCACATTCTTGTAGAGGCTGGCACCAGTGTGCCAACCAGGGATACAGGAAACCCACATTTGGAACTGGGACCCAGCTTCTTGTGACCCCAAGTGAGTTTGAGCTTTCTGTTCCATATTAACACCAGGATTGGTACATCATTTGTTTATTGGGTAGATGTGATGCCTTCTTCTCTGGTCCTAGAATTAAGAGCCAGGCATGGCTAAGGGATAAAAGGGTTTTTATCTGGGTATTTAATGAGGATCCTTAGGTGTAACAATTCATCAAGGTGGAATACACTGAAATGTGCACACACAGTAGATTGTGGATACAATTTTATACACCTTGCAAATTAGCATATCTGACAAAGATTAATGAGAAGCTTAAATGAATGGCGTGAAATTTCCAGTTCTAATGTATTCCCCCCAAGTGGGCTTAATCTGAGTTTACAGAAAGTGTTCTGGAGAGAACCTTGGTTGCTCAAGACAGTGTAAGGTTTTCCAGCCTCCAGCTGAGAGGCCTTTAGGATGTTTGGTCTTCTGGCCTAGCAGAACACCAGGATATGCAAAGATATCAGGCTTAAAGAATGACAAGTATGTATGCTAGGAGAACTGAGTTTATACTCAGTTTTTTACTATATAAAAGTTACTGTACTTTTATATAGTAAAAGCTATAAAAAAAAAAAGGGAAAAAACCCCATCATGGCATCAGATGGACCAGGGATTTCATGGAAGAATATTACAACTTCTTTTCAGCTTCCCTTGGCAAAAGCCAGGTGGAATAGAGATGCTGTCTTGGGATGCCAGGAGGGCTCAGCTGTGATCCACTGCAGGACAGAACAGCAGGAGAAGCTGGTTAAAGCTTATTAAAGCTTATTAAAGCTGATTAAAGCTTATTAAACCCAGGTTTAATAGCCATGGCATGGTGACTGGAGGTTCTTCTAACTAAGGGCTTAGAGACTGGATTTTGTAAGTCTTAGCCTAAGAGAATATGTCATGACCTTTATTTTTTAAAATCCATAACCATTGCATTCTAAGATTTTTATTTTTATTTTTTTCTGGAAACAAAATCTCTGCTATATTTAACTGCAAACTTCATCTGGCAAATGGAAAACAGTCTGATTTTGGAAGAAAACACATGGAAAAGCATTTTGTGAAAATTACAGAGGTTGTCAGGGGATTCATGAGCAGACACTTCAAGTCTTTTTGTTTTAAGGAAATTGTCACACAGCTGGATTAATCCATCTCAGTTACCTGTGAGAGAGTGGATTAGATAAACAGAATTGCTCCTTCTGACCTGCAAAAATATTTTCTTAACATTGTTGAAAGGAGCAGCAGAGGAGATAGTAGCAATTCTCTCCTGTGGTTTAGATGGTGCCTGAGTAGATCCAGATATGAACACAAACAGGGTATTGCTTCCCAATAAGAAAAAATTCAGAAAAAAATCATCTCAAGTTTTACTGAACATGAACACATGCTAGAAGTCCAGGATTTCTCCTGGTTTGGTACTAGAGAACTATTTATTCCATTGAGCACTTGATTTCTCCTCACATCCTGGGTATCTTCCTCTTAATTCACCATTACTTTTGGTTTAGTGGGAAATCTTTCCCTTAAAAGCTTGTGACAAAGATTTTGGATAGTTTTGGTAGTTTGACTTCCCCAAGTATAATTACAGAGGCAATAACAAACACATTTTTTAGAAGGAGACCAGAATTAGGCCTGAGGTCTGTCAGTAAAGCAGCATATTGATATTTGCAAACACTGAATCTCTCCTCAGAGTTCTCTGCACTTTGGATGACGTGGGCAGATGCTGGACTAGAACCTGCTTCTACCTGAGTGTCTCCAGACAGAGCCTAGAAAGTCTAGGAAGGGTTCCTGTCTTAAAAGTGTTCCTCTAGTCTTGCTGTAGCCACCACAACATCCAGCTGGGAACAGAACAGATGAAGAATATTTCAGTGATAGAGAAGATTTTGAGGCCCTTTCTAGACTTTCCCCATGGAAAGAAATTCAAATTTCTTCATCTGGGAGCTAAGCTGTCTTCAGTATTTCTACAATATGACAGATTTCACAGAGGACTCTGGCAGACCCCTTGGAACATGCACTGCAGGACAGACAGGAAACATCACTAAAGTGCTCTTAATTCCTTGGAGTTGCTCCTCTGGAGGCAGATTGGCCTGTTTGAGTGGGCAGGGGGTACAGATGTTCCTGGAGTGGGGCAGCTCCAGGCTGACTCCAGCTGTGGAATATCATGTCTCAGGCTGAGGAGTGGTAAGAGCACCAAAAATTCTGTCACACCAATTCCAGTCTGACCAGGGATGCAGTTTGCTTTGGAAGGAATGGAGAATGTGATAATTTTCTGCATGATACCACCTGGGAATTAAACCAGTTCAGGATTTCTACTAGAGCTTGTCTGGAGGGAAAAAAAAGAAAAGGCACAGGTCTCAGTCTAATGTTGAAACAGAGTTCAACTCCCCTGAAATCAGCCTCTAGACTAGGCAGGAACAGCATTCCAACAGCTCCTGCTTCAGTAAAGATAAAATTAGGCAGCATGGAAAGCTCAGAGCATCATTTTTTACTTCTCATTCTTTCCTGTAAATAGAGGTCATACATATACAGCACCTCCAGCACCAGCTCATTAAGACAGAATAACAGGTCACAGGGCTGTGGTTAGAGTAGATGTTATTTACCAAAACTATCTCAAACCTTCATAGCAGTGGGCAAATACACAAAGGAACTTACAGGAACTGAACTGCAGCACCAGAAGAGAGGCAGCAGCCACTCTGAGTAAGAACAGGAAACTAATATTTTACAAAACTGCTGAAGCTTCCTGTAAAAAACAGACTTTATTGTTTTATGTGTTCAAGATCAAAGCATTGAAAAGGAGAAAAACACCCTAATTTGGACAGAGGTAGATATTTATCTCTTCAGAAAACAGTACTTGTGATGAGAGAGGAGAGCAGCTTGACAAATTCCTCCTCTTCTCTTTCATTTCCATGTACCCCATGGCCATGATCTACCCTCATCTCATCTGTATTTTTAACAGGGATCTATAATCAAGATTTTTACCAGCTCCTGCGTTCCTCTCCCTAACAAACAATCACTATTTCCAAAACACTGACTGGGAGTATGGGAGGCAAGGGGGTCCCAACAGACATTAGGCTGTATTTCTGCATAGTTTGCAAAGAGTCTCATCAGGTTCTTCAAAGCCAAGGCAAAGCTAGAACAGATGAATTACAGTTCAGGAGATGGGCCAGAAAAGAAACCCTTGGGCTTTGTGGATTATTTTTTTTCTGAGATGATACTAATAGAGAAGTGTGGCTCTCTGAGGTGGCAACAGCAGGGAGCAGAACAGATAAAGAATATTTATTTCAGTGATAAAGAAAATTTTGGGATACTTTCTAGACCTTTCCCATGGGAAGAAATGAAAACTTCTTCATCTGAGAGTTTCTTCATTGTCTTCAGTATTTCTACAATATTTATCAGTGAGGCGTGTGAGCAGGGAGAAAGCAAAGATTAATCTCAACTCTCAATCCTACACAGTAACACTTCATCAGTTTATAAATGTGAGCTGAAGCTCTCACTGAAATCTGTGAAGGCCAACAGAAAATGCAGCCACAGGACTGCTGAGAGCCCCAAACCTGCACTGTGGCTACAGCATGTCTGTAATAATTCATTGAGTCATCATGAGAGCACTGCAGTGTCTGGAACATTTTACTGTTAGTTAGGAATGTACCTTCTCATAGAATTAGATGGAATGTATGCCTAGAGGACAAGAATAAATCTAAATATGCAAAAATGGGTTTAACCACAGGTTGTGTTTTGTGTGTGGAAAAACCCAGTCTGACTCACTAACAGAGTTTGAAGCAAGGAAACAGTGATGAGCCCCAGGTGTTATATCTGCAGCCCTTAGTGCCTCAAACCCCTCTCTGCAGGGTAAAATTTTGTATACAAATTTGGTACAAGAGGTGGAACACGATGAAACATTTGTTTGCTTCCCCTTTCTTTCCCTGAGTGCAGCCCCGTGTTTCCCTTTGCAGTGGCTCAGGCTTTCTGCTGTAGGAGCACCAGCAGCAGGCTGCTGGTAAATGTGAAACCCTCCAGGTTTAGTGGTTTATCCTCTGCCCCTCAGGACACATATTGGGGGTTAATCTTCCATTTACAGCTTCAGGTAATGAAGTCATTTTTCCCCAGTTTGTTCTCCCCAACTCACTTTTGTTTCCATCTCTCAGGGCCTGAGGCACTGAGGTTTCCTTGATTCCCAGGCCTAGAGAGGAATTGTTTTGTCTGACCAAAATGGGAAAGCATCAGCTGATATTGTAGAGTTATGCACTAAAGAATCTCAGGATTACAATGTTTGACCAAACATTTGCAGAATAAGCAGAATGGCCCTGGGCTATCTCAAGTATCACAAAATCACAGCATGGTTTGGGTTGGCAGGGACCTGGAGACCACGTTCCAGCCATGGGCAGGGACACCTTCTGCTGGGCCAGGCTGCTCAGTGCTCTCTGCAGCTGTCACACATCCCCTGTCTGCAGCCAGGCCAAGGTGCCAGAGGCCAGCGAGCTGGCACCGTGAGGAATGGCCAGGGACATCCAGGGTGGGGATGTCCACAAGCCTTTTCAGATGCTCCAGGAATTCTGCCTGGCCACTCTGTGTCTCCCACACAACATAAGTCAACAAAAGTAGCTTCTGCATCTCCTGCTGTAGATGCTTTGGTGCTCTGAAGGTGTCCTGGAACAAGATCCCAATGATCAGGAAATTTCCCACTGGAATAATGGAGAAACCTGCATTTCCAAGTGGCTGTATGTTAAGACTGAAGGAGTTATGAATGCCTAATCTGACCTAATGACTCTTCTTTTCTCCACTTGCAGAAGTTACTCCATCTCCATCAGTCTACAGGCTGACCTCTAAAGATGACCAGGATCTGGAAATGTGCCTTATCACAGATTACTCCCCTGAAAAGCTCACTCTTAACTCAGCTGAGCAGCACACCTCCACTGTGGTGGAGGTGGCAGCTGCTGGGAACAGAGAGGAATCCAGCTACCTGTCCACCTACTGGGCCAGGAGAGATGAGCTGCAGTGCAGTGCCAGCCACGAGGGCTTTGGAGAGCTGGAGGGCGAGGACCCTGAGAGTGGTAATGGCATTTCTGGGGCTGTGAGCAGGGTTGGAGGTGCTCTGGGTGCTGTTGGTGTGAGCAGGACTGGGCTGCAGCTCCCAGCCCTGCAGGCTCCACTACAATCCCACAAGACAGAGGAATGTTGCCTCGTTGCCTCTGTGTTCTCTCTCCTTCCTCTTTGGTGTAAAACAAGATTAAGGGTCGGTAGACTGGTACAGTCATGGCAGAGAGATCTTAAAAACACACTGTGAGAGGGTAGAAAGCTTGAAATTACTTCCTCTGATGAGACACTGAACTTTAATCAGATCATATCTTATGCTTGCCCTGAAAATAGGAGAAAATATTGTTTATGGGAGGGCTTATTAGCCAGAAACTCTAATTTAGTCCTTCTAAGCAGAGATATCTTTACAGACCTCTGAAGAAGCACATTTTTGTTGTTAATCAAATTTATTGTTACTCTCTGCAGGTGCCAGTGCTGTCTGTGTCACAGGGCTGTCCCCACACTTCAGGACAGGTATGTAACACAGCATTTTAGGAGAAAATTTTGGCCTGACTAAAGTAAATGTCTTCCCAGGTTTTTGCTGGTTTTCTCTGCTTGCAGAATTATTTTTTTAAGCAGCAAAATGTCAGAGAGAAAATTTCCAAAAGGGCCTCCACAGACTTTAAACATCAAGGCCAAAAGTGGTGGTGTTAATGCAGCCTTCCTGCTCCAAGCTGATGATTTTATGGTGCAGCCAGTGCCCACATGCTCTTGCTCTGACCCACCACAGAGCTGCTGCCCACCCCAGAGTGACTCCAGGCACTGCTATGAGTCAGCACTGCCTCATTTCAGCCTTCAGAGGAGCTGGGTTATTTTGGGTGCACCAACACCTGATGGAACAATAGCTAAGCAGTCCAAGGATCTGCTGCTCCAGCCACTTCAAAGAGCAGAGCCTGTGCCTGCCCTGCTCGCAGAGCAGCTGTGCTCTTGCAAATCTTTCCAAAACACAATTTCAGGCAAATACTCATCAGTAAACAGAGCTGATTCAATCAGCCTTTCAGCTCTCTGAAAAGGTTCTCAATGATGAACTCACAGTGCATTTTTGCTGTCAGCTCCCTCCTTCTCCAGGATAGATCAACATATTTTCAAATACAAATGGCTTTGTAACATCAGATAAATATAAAATTCAAATAGAATTGTGTTCTGTGATGAAAATCAAAATTGCTTTCCCCCTGCCCATCTTGAAAATAATTTAGAGAGAGGAAGGAGGGCTGCCTGCAGCATCCTGGGTTCACAATGCACACTATTTAAGAGCAGTTAGGTGGCTGGCAGACTGGCATATTGGATAATTAAGTGCTAATTGAATGGAAGAAATTAAAGTCTCTGAGTCCTACTCCCTATCTCGTTTCCTGTCCTACCAGCTGACTCCATCACACAACAGAGCAGCTTCATTAAAAAGGGCTTTTCAGTCTGTCTGGAACACAAGGATGGCTCAGTGCTCTTGTAACCCTCATTTTCTGTTTTTTTCAGATGAACACTTGAACACACTGTCTTTATCACAGCTGGGCCTCAAAATAGTTTTAATGAAAGGAATAATTTTTAATGTGCTGATGACGATGCTTATGTGGAAGAAAAAAAAGGTGAGTATGCTTGGGGGGGATCTGAAAGTACCTGTCAGAAAACATCTGGATTGGTTCTTCAGATATGAATGCTCCTTCTCTCTGGAATAGCTGTTCATTCAGTCTATCCAGATTTATTTTGTCTGCCAGCAGTAAAACCCCTCCATTCCTCTGGCCATACCTTTTTCATCCACTGCTCAAGTGCTTTTCCTTGTCCATAAGAATTTTTTTTTTTCCTTTCAAGATATTTCTCCCTTCTATGTCTACATCCATCCTTTTCCTTGCCTGCATTCATCCATCAGATTTCTCCCCTCATCTGTCTCCAGCCAGGGAGGTTTAATGGTTATTGACTTTAATATAAATCCTAATATATTAATTTTTTGCCCAGTGTCTGTTTCTTCTCTTCCTCTTGCCTGGACACTTCAGCTCTACAATTGTGCACTTGTGACTGTAACCCAAATAATGATTTAACACATCTTTGTTCTTGTTACAGGACTGAAAGTAACCAGGAGCTGCAGTCCTGAGGTACCAAAACCATCTGCTTTGAGAGAGCTTTGAGAGAGCATCGTGAGCAAGAGGGAGCACAGGGATATTCCTTGTGCAAGGGCCATCAATTGCTGTTCTTATAAACCACACCAGCCATTATATTCTAAATTGCTTTATTTACATTGACTTCAAACTACTCAAAATTAAGCATTTCCAGCATTCTGCCCTCCAGATGCCAGGGTCATTCACCATACAGTGCCTCTTGTGCACGAAGCTGACTTTGCTACAATTACACATTGCCAAGCATCACTGTTACTTGCATTAAAATGATGAGTTCTGCCTGGAGCAGTGCTGTTTGTTAAAAACTGCAAGCTAAATATCACCTGAATGGGAATTTTTCCTATTTTGGTAGCTTTAGGGTATTCATGTCTCTTAGGGTGCACTCCCAGAAACCTTTTCAGGTGCAAATGAAACACTGAAAAGCAAAGGGAGGTTGACTCAGGATGCACTGTCCTGCCACCCTTTGCTAGATCAGAGCAAGATATCCCTTTTTCCCACTAAAGGAAGAGCTGCAGGACTCCCAGAAATCCCAAATTCAGTGAAATGGTCACTTCAATATCATAGAAAAAAAAAAAAAAGAAAAATAATATTTTTTAAAAAGTCTATCTGACCATAACATCTTTCTAATTTAAACCAGTTTAAGATTTGACTTTGTATTTAGCAAAAATACAAACAACTTTTTTTCTTTTTGTTTACTTCCAACAACCTGAGATCTCCCAAGTTCTTTTTGTAATAATTGCATAAAAATATGCTGAAATATTTACCTGTCCCTGTGTGCCCACCTTGGAAGAGTGCTTACTTGTGGCATCTGCATGCTGTTAATTCATGAACTGTACTGTCACCAATATGTCTTGGCATTTCTTTAGGCTCTTATCAAACAATTCTTACAAAAAATGAGAAATTTGTTTGACTTGTATTTGTTTGAGGCATTGCTTCACCCTTTCAGCTGAGCTTTGGGGTGGAGGAGGGAAGGGGTTGGGTCCACATGGAGGGTGGGAACACAGATCTGCAAGGATCTGTGCTTGTGAGGACAGTGGGGAGAGAAAAGGGGGAGCCCCCTGCCCCAAGGGCAGCCTCTGTGCTGGGTGGAGAGAACAAAAACGTGGCTTGGCCACAGTGAGGGGACTGGTCAAGGGTCCAGGCTCCTGGGGCAGATTGCTGCTGCTGTGGGGTACACAGGACCCTGAGGTGTCCTGTCCCCAAGTCCCCCAGTCCTGAGTGTCACAGCAGCACAGGGTCCTGCTTGGCAGTGATGACACCAATGGACCCCCTTTGCCTTCAGGTTCTCTCTGCCCCTGGCAAGTCTGGAAGGGAAATGTTCTCCCTTTGTGACATCAATTTCTTCAACATCTTCTGATGCCCCAGTGATTCCTTTCTGGGACTACCTAAAAACAGAGGCCAGACAAAATCAAGGGAATAAAAAGTTCTATTTATTGAAGAGTCTTCAGGCACATTTAGGGCAGACAAAGCACCCCCAGGAGTTACACTCAAAAATGGACAATGGCTCACGAGTTTTCACACTTCTGTAAGTTTGGTCCAGTTGCATATTGGGGGTTAATCTTCCATTTACAGCTTCAGGTAATGAAGTCATTTATCCCCAGTTTGTTCCCCACAACTCACTTTTGTTTCCATCTCTCAGGGCCTGAGGCACTGAGGTTTCCTTGATTTCCCAGGCCTAGAGAGGAATTCTTTTGTCTGACCAAAATGGGAAAGCATCAGCTGACATTGTATGTGAAGTTTAGGGTTATACACTGAAGAATCTCAGGATTACAAATACACAAAAAATAGAGAAGCTAAAATCCTAAGGCATCACCAGGGCTTCCTCTGTGGGCGAGAAATGAGAAGTATGCTCTGACAGAAACACTCTCCCTGCAAAGCCTGAACCTTGCCTGTACCTCCCACCAGCTCCCAAAGTGGCAGGAAAAGCTTCTCTGGACCAGTGAGGGTGGCTGTCCCTCACCCAGCTGGGCTCACAGCCTGCACAAGGAGCTGGTTTTGGAAAGGGTCACGATTCAAACACTTTTAGCCAAAAGCCCTGGTGCTTCCTGCGGGAGGACCCTGCTGGGATCTGACCCCACACTGCTGAGCAGCAACACCACAAATCCTTGCTGGTGTCCTGCCTTGGTCCTGCACCTGAGCACTGAGCACTGACACAGGTCACAGAGTTACTGACCCCTCCTGACAAGGAGCAGCTTTCAACCTTCCACATCTACCCTGACTGTTTTACAGTACAGATGTTCAGGGACTTGTTCTCGTTTCTCCCTTGACACAACCATCGTTTTCAGATCTCTCCAGCTGTAGGAAGTCCATGGTTCTTTAAGTGCTGGATTACAGGCAGCTCTTGGAGACTACATTCCACTCATGATGAAATCTGCCATGTCACTGGGAAGCCTGAAGAAGCTGTCTAAGCCATATATGAACTATAAAGCAAGTCAGAAGTCATTGCATTTCAAATATTTGCAACCAATTAACCTCATTCCAAAAACTTTCAGGGATGTGGAAGAAAACTTTCCATACTCATTTACCTTTAGCATCACTTTTCAGAATTAATAATCATCATAAATTTTTTATGTTGCAATTCAAACTCACTCCAGATGAAAGAGTTAAGGACTGTGCTGTCTTTGTTTCCACATCTGTGTCTTTCCTCTTCCAGGTTAAACCGACCCCAGGGACAGGATTTGCCAAGTGGGAGATGAGTTAAATGCTTTGACTAAAATGGCTCCTGGCATGTGACCTGCAAAGCAAGAATTTGCAATCTACTTCAAAGACACTTTCAGATATCAGGCTGCCAATCTCCCACCACCACAACATGCCCCCCTTTGCCTGCATTTTCTTGTTTATTTCGAGATATGAAAACCACAGAGCAAAGCAAAGCCAGGAAATAATACAGCAGGACAGGAGGTGGGCTCATGGCCCAGCTGGGGCAGGAAGAGGCCACAGCACAAGTTCCATGACGCCACAATCGAGATCTGGGTCACCACAGATGCTCGTCTATACCTGACCACAAAAACCACTTCCTCTGGAAAGTGCAGCACAAAGGGGGTGGGGGCAGCACGTGGCAGGGAGGGGAGAAGCTGTGGAAAAGAACAGCAGACGTTAGACCACGAGCCAAAGTGGAATGAGGTTAAGACATCCTCCCCTCCCAGCCTCACCACAGCCTGCACTTGAGGAGCTGTTTTGGGTACAGCAGCAGGGATTGAGCTATGTATAGTGTGGGCAGGGAAAGGAGGGTAGAAATGCTTGATAAAGCATGGTGGGATTAGATAACAAAGCTCTTAGAATTGTGTCAGAGTTCTGAATTTGCTGATAGGTCTCTGCACCCTGTTTAGAGACTGGAAAATCCTTCCACTTCTCCTGGCCCAGATGAGAAGGAAGGATGAAGGGGCAGGCCAGAGTCCTCTCATACTGTCAGAGAAGGAGGTTTCCATGGTCCACATTTAGCATCCTCTCCCCTGTGGGTAGAAGATGAATTTGTGTGTTTTTTCAAGGTTTTGTTGGAGAAAATATCCTGCCCAATATTTGTCACCTCTCATCAAACATGGCCCTGTGCACAAACCATCCTCTCTAATTTTCCTCCTCCTGCTTGTGTGACCAGGGACCCAAGTGTGGACTTTACAAGGACCAGAATCTGAAGGTGTCAGTGGATTTGTTGAAGCTTATTCCAACGCAGAAGGAGCTGTGGTAGGGCTTGGATTCATCATAGGGTCACAGAATCCCAGAATGGTTTGGTTTGGAAGGGACCTTAAAGCCCATCCAGCCCCATCCCTGCCATGCAAGGGACACCTTCCACTATCCCAGACTGCTCCAAGCCCTGTCCAGCCTGGCCTTGGGCACTGCCAGGGATCCAGGGGCAGCCCCAGCTGCTCTGGGCACCTGTGCCAGGGCCTCACGACCCTCACAGGGACAAATTTCTGCCCAATATCCCATTTAACCCTGCCCTCTGGCAGTCTGAAACCATTCCACCTTGCCATATCACTACTTTGTGAAAAGTCCCTCTGCAATTCTACTTCCCCTCAAGAATTCTACTGTCCAATTAATGGCAACTGGAGGAATTGTAAGCAGGAAAGAAGCAGGAAAAAGGGGGGGGAAAACCCCAAAACCTCCACAGCAAAGCCTCACATCTCCTCTCACTCAGTCCCTGTGCCCCAGGCAGTGGCCAGGGGAGGCTCCATGCCAGAGCTGAGCATCATCCCCCACATTTGCTGCTCCTGCTGCCCTGGCACAGCTCAGGGCCCTTCTGGTGAGAAAGCAGAGCTGTGTGGGTCATTTACCATCATATTGCTTCTGCCCAAGTGAAGCTCCCAGGCCTTGCAGAGCTGTGTTTTGCATTGCCAGCTGGGTGGGTGTTGATAACAGATCGTGTCCCTCTGACACTCCTTCCCCCACCAAAGGGGACGGGAGTGGGGGAGCTCCTGGGAGGGGACACAACCAGGCCAGCTGGCCCCAATTAGGCAGGATATTCCATACCACATTATGGGCAACTGAGAGACAGGGACATCCAAGTCAAGGTCAGAAGCCAATTTCATAAAGCATACAAGGTGTTTATATAGGGTTTTACTTGTATGGCACTTCCATAGGGTTCTACTTTTGGTAACAATTTCCCATTGGTTATACATTCTTCATGACATCAATTAATCATCACAAAGTTTCACAACATATCCCTTGGTCACTTCTGCCCCAGGGAGGAGTTATCTGTGTCTGTCTCTCCCATGGTTTCTGTTCAATTAGGTTTAAGATTCCAGGCTCCTTTTTCAGTTCCTCTGTGCTCTGTTTTATTCCCCATACCATATGATGTCAGCTCAGATACATAAGGTAAGGGAGAGATGAGGAAGGGAGGGTATTCCTGAATTTTCAGTGTTTGCCTTCTGAAGGAACCATCACACGTGGCAAAGCCCTGCTTCCCGGGAAGTGTCCCAACATCACTGCTGATGGGAAGCAGAGACTGACTTTTATTTTTTCTCTTTAGCCCATGCACATGCAGATCTCTACTGATTTCTTTCTTTTACTGTAATAAAACTGCCTTATCTCACCCTGCTGGTCGTTCTCCATCTTATTCTCTCCCCTGTCCCAGTGGGAGTGCTGGAGTGACTGAGTAGGCACCTGACACCCAGCCAGAGTCAACCCACTACACCAGCCCTGCCCCGAGCCCCTGCCTGCTCTCCCAGGGCTGCTGCCATTGCAAACGAGTCCAGGAGTGGTGGTGCCCAAGCTGCACAAGTTCTTTGTTCCTGACACAGACCCAGACTCCATTGTCTAAGACAGTGAAAACCCTGACCCCTCACAGCCAGTGTTAGGCAAGAGACTTGGGAGCCCCAGGTTTCAGACTGTTACAGCTTCAATGGTTGCAGCACAGCTGGAAATGCTAAAAAGGTGGTAGACAGGAGCCAAATAGAATTCTGAGAGGTTCTGAAGCCATCAGAGACCCAAAGCTCCATCTCCTCAGTGCAGCACACAAACATTTCCATGCCATGGAGTCTCAAGGCTTTCAAGGTTTTGCTTCCCCAGGATTTCAGCTGCAGAGAAATCCAGACGAGCACGAAGCAGGATCAGAGTGAGGACCAAACCTCATACATGAAGG